AAAAAAAAAAAAAAAGCCTCTCCCCACCTCCCTGCCTTGCTTCTGCTTCCCAAAAGCTCCAAAAAAAGAAAAAGAGAAAGAAAAAAAAAGTGACATCCATGGGGCAGAATGGGGTCACCAGAGGAAAAAAAAACCAGGGTGAAGGGCTTGTTCTGCAACTTGCTCTTGGCCCTCTCCCACCCCTTAATCTTTGGGGACACCCAGCCTGGCCCTCAGTCTTACCCGCCATGGCAGCCTTCTCCCCTGATGGAGAGCCTGGTCCTTCCACAGGAGACTTGAGATTAGGGTAGGAGGGAGGAAATGTCAGGCCATCTTGGAGAATGCCCCTGGGCTGTGATCTGGTCCTGGTGGGACACCAGCGAGTCACAGGCCTGCAGGAACCCCCACCCAGCCCTCCCCTGGCAGTGCCCTCAGGCCCTGGCCTTGGCTCCAGTCTCCAGTCCTCCCCACAGCCCATAGTGCGACAGAGGTCTTCCGTTGCCCTCTCTCGGCCTGGCCCTCTCTAGCCTCCTGGCATCCATCCTGGCTTCCACAACTCTCTGTCATCCCCCGTATGTGGAGGAGCACATTTCACCTGGGAAGGAGAGGGCTGGAGATGACCAGTTCCATCTTGCTCACAAATTCTGAGGCCCAGAGAAGGGAAGTGATTGGGCCGAGATCACACAGCAGGTCACTCCTTCCAGGAAGGCCATCCCAGGGTGCAGAGACCCCAAGGAAGGGAGGTGTGTCCTGATGGAGAAATGAACCAAGCCCAGTGCTGGAGCAGAGTGAGGCCGGAGAGAGCAAAGGTCAGGCTTCAAACAGCCTTGTGGGCCATACAGAGATTTGGGATTTTTACCCTGGAGCCATGGGAAGCCATTGAGCAGTTTCTGAGAGGTAAGTCCTAAGTCTAGGAGACTAGAAACTGCATCCTTTAATTATTTATTTATTGTGAGTCAGGGTCTCACTCTGTCACCCAGGCTGGAGTGCGGTGGCACAATCATGGCTCACCCCAGCCTCCACCTCCCAGGTGATCCTTCCACTTCAGCCTCCTGAGGAACTGGGACTATGGGACATGCACCACCC